TGTGTGTGTCGTCGTCGTGTGTGTGTGTGTGTGTGTGTGTGTGTGTGTGTGTGCAATGTTCCAGCACTGAAACAATAGCCTCTTCCTGTGAATCGACTCACATTGCAATTCATCGCATGCACTCGGCAGCTGCTGTTGACGTCCCGCCACCGACGGCCGAGGTGAAATACACGCACACACACACACACACACGCACACACACACACACACACGCACACGCACACGCACGCACGCACGCACGCACACACACGCACTCACTCGCTTGCACTTCCACCCCCTCTTAATCTCTGGTTTGCTCACCACCCGCTCCTTTGCTGTGGTCGTGCTTGCACATGTGCGCACGTGTGTTCGCGTATGTGCTCTGCAGGAGTTCTTTGGCGGGCGAAAGCTGTACCGCAGCACGAGCACACATTACCCCGAGCTGAAGATGGAGACGACATCAGAGCAGTGGGCAGCGGCGCTGGTGAGGCACAGACACAAGCATCGTGCCCGCTTGATCTTGTGTGCGTGTGTGTTTGAGTGAGTGTGCTGAACCCTTGTGTGCGCTTGAAACATGCGCTGTTCTCACGTGCATGTGCGTGTATATCTGCGTGTGCACGTGCGTGTGCTCTTCAGGACATTATGACAAATGTCATATTTGCTGACACGACGAAATTCCAGGTGTGTAAGGGGTGGACGGGTGAATGTGTGTGTGTGTGTGTGTGTGTGGGTGGGTGGGTGGGTGGGTGGGTGGGTGGATATGTGATACCTCCACTTCCATTATATGTAGGCATGCGCTCGTGTACACAAACACACGTGAAATTGCACTCATTTGTGCCTGCTCGTGGGTCGTTCTCGCTCTAGGCTGCTGCCGAGCACAACGAGGTGGTGACGCTCAGCTCTCACTTGCAGCAAAAATCGCAAGACGACATCAAGAAGGAAATTGCTGCGCTTCAACGAGACATCAGGTGCTTGTATGCGTGTATGAGTGCGTGTATGAGTGTGTGTGTGTGTGTGTTGGTTGCTCCAAACGCTTCTTCACTTTCTATCCTCACACAACGTCGCGCGTGCTCATCGATGTACGTGTGTTTGTACAGAGTTGTTGACCGTGCGTTGAAAGCCATTGAACGTGAAATTGCCATCCTCGTCTCTCCTCCACATGTACGTCCTTTCGTTTGAAGTACCGATATTACCACGTCGACTTCCACCTCGCTGTGTGTGCTGTGAAAAAGTGTGTGTGTGTGAACCTGAAACGCTATGCTGTTCTGTGCATTGCCATTGCATCTGCATGCACTCATCCGCGTGTACGCCACAACAACAACAACAACAACAACAACAACAACAACAACAACAACAACAACAACAACAACAACAACAGGACCGCTTGCACATCAAGTCGACGCTGCTGTGGTTTATCCGTCGCAAGCAGCGCCAGCAGCAGCTGCAGCAACAGGAGCATGGTGGTGACAGCCACACCGGGCAGTTTTCGGCCGTGCCATCCTCTACCTCCATACAACAACAACAACAACAACAACAACAACAACAACAACAACAACAACAACAACAACAACAACAACAGCAGCAGCAGCAGCAACAACAACAACAGCAGCAGCAGCAGCAGCAGCAGCAGGGTGGCGGTGGCGTGCTTGATCGGCTTCTTCACACGTCATCACGCTGGTTCTCGTCGATTCCTGCACACGACATTCTCGGATCAACACCACCATCGCTGTGGACGCCAGAAACTCGCTCGCACACGTCACTTACACACCGCGAGGAGGGTGCAACAACAACAACAACAGCACTCGCACGTGAGCTGACGTCGGCGCTCACAGAGCACGTGCAGTCATCATCAAACACACGCACGCGAGCGGGATTGGACGCAGCCACAGACGTGCATGGCAGCAGCAGTGACGACGACGACGACGACGACGACGATGGTGATGATGGTGATGAAGGCGAAGGTGGGCACAAACTTGCGGGCGAACGAAGTGCAAACGGTGCTGGTAGTGGAGGTCCCAAGCAATCCCCGCAGCCCATCAATGAAGGAGCACAGGAGGTTGATGCACGCGGTGGCTGCCCAGCCGACGATGACACCGACCAACAACACCAACACGTCAGCACCAGCAACGAGGAGGATGTAGCAACCACAGCCACAGCCACCACCGCCATGACGGCCCATCGCTCGCCGCGTGATCGTGGACGAAGGGCGTTTTCCTCTGCGCCGTCGAGTGCACGCAGGCGGCGAATGCGTGCGCGTATGTCATTGCGCTCGCGTCAGCCGCATCTCACGCCCACGGAACGGCTGCGTGCAGTTTCTCTTGAGCAGGTGATGATGAGTGGCGCCGTGGCGGAACGGGTGCTATTGTGTGTGTGTGTGTGTGTGTGTGTGTGTGTGTGTGTGTGTGTGTGTGTGTGTGTGTGTGTGTGTGTGTGTGTGTGTGTGTGTGTGTGCGTTCGTGTGCGAGCGTGCGTGAGTGTGTGTGTGTGTGTGA